GTTCTGAAGGCAAAAGGGGGTCCAACCCATTACTAGCGTGGTGTACCTAATAAAGTGGCCGGTGAGTGTATACACACTTGTTTTTCTTAAAGCTACTGAAAAAAATTAGCCTTTCATTTGTGCAAAAGTAAATGTATTTTTGGTACTGCATCTTTGCTGTAAAAGGAAAAGTGCATGTTGTTCAACTGTAGCCTTTTATTATACCAAAGCACTTTATTTTTGTTCCTGCTTATTTTATAGCTGTGATCCAGACAGGATTTTTTGAAAAGGCACTTTCCTTAAAATGTAAAAGGCAGCATTATTTTTTTAAATAATGATTCACTTTTATTTTTGTTATTTAAGCAATATGTAACACTGCTTTTATGCAACGGTTGAAAAAATTACTTTTAAGCTGTTATGTTCAAAATTTATTAAATGTGAAAAAGACACTTTGTATTTGTCATTCTGTCTCGCAAAGCAGACTGGAGTAGATCATGCAGATTCTATAGACTGAAGCAGAAATTTTTATAAATCAAATTGTTTTGAATTTAAAACCATTTTGAAATCGAATCGTGGCTCCCAAAATCTGAATCGAATCAAATCCTGACGCAGTAAAAGATTCCCACCCTTTAGTGCATAATAAGATAAATGTTTAGAGAAAACTTGCTAACTTACCTTGCGCTCCTGCACCATCTTGATTACCTGATTTAGAGAGAAAGACATGAAAATACTCATTAAAATACTCACTAGACCGTGAAAATACAAATTTCATTCCACCACATGTGACGCAAATGACAATAAAGTCTCCTTGAATCCTTGAAAATTGGTTTTGTTTGTCTGGTTTATTTGTGAGAATTCAGATTATGGTTGTTGAGATAAAAAATAAAATTGAACAAAAACACATTTCCTAGTTACCCTGAGAGAATTTGATATGTCACAGCTAGAAATGAGTTTAAGACGAAGAAAATAATACAAGTAATAATTGTAAACAAACTGTAAATTGCAGGAAAAAAAATTGTTTGTTGGAAAAGGAGCTTTGCTGCTTTTGTAGGGTGTGGCAGGATATGCAGAAAGTATGAGGTCATTGTTTTATTATTTACAGCTCAAACACAGAGCCATATTAATGACATGCTGACTTTTTTGGCCACAGCGCTGAAATCATTTAGGACAGAAACTAAAACCACAACTGCTTTATTATTGAAGTGAAACTGATCTTTTATTGACACAATTCTCTTGATGCATGTGTGTATTCTGTGTATAAAAACTTTAAACATTACTATGATTTTAAAGGGATCTCTGATTAGTTGTAACATTAGACTATTTGATAAACATTTATTTTAACTGTAAAATAAAGACTGTAAAAAAACTTTAGCCTGTTCAGTTTAGTAATTTTTAAAAAATATATTTTAACACGGACGGAGCCATTTTATTTACAAGCAAAGCATTCTGGGTAAATGATGACGTGGATAGGTCCTCGGTGAGAGCGAGCTATCGAGCTATATCCACCCTGAAGGTTAATCTTGGACAATATCTGATGATCGACTCTTTTAAATGAAACCAGAGAGCGTTGACAGAGAGGAGAAGGTAGAAATGACTCAGCCTGGAACTGAAAATATGGATGGAGGACAACAGAGCTGCTTCATGGAAGAAGAGCTTAGCCTGCTAGCTTTGCGCTAGCGCCGACGCTATATTGCCTTATATGTATTAGCTCGGTGCTAGTGCGACAAACAAGCTAAACTGAGGTCCTCCATCCATATTTTCAGTTGCAGACTGAGTCATTTCTACCTTCTCCTCTCTGTCATGTGGATGGAGGACCTCAGTGATGAGAGGAGAATGTGTAGAAACGAGACGTGTTTATTAAAGACTCCAGAGCTTAATGTGGGAAATAGGATTGTGACGTGTCTCTGTGTCATTTTGCCTGTCTAATTATCTGATGTCTTCTCCTTTCAGCCGATTGGATGGAAAGGTGACTTAAAGGAAATGAGCTACACCTGTCAGTTGAGCAAGCAGCCTGAGGGGAGATGTTGGTTTCTTGTGAGTTCTGCACTCCTTTTATCCCTGTAGACTCTTGGTTGTGTGGTCTGGGAGTTAACAGCCTTTTTTTTTCCAGTTTATGGTTGTAGGGTGAGACCCTGGACCAGAAAGCAAGGGGAAGCAGTCTGGATCCGACGGTCAACTGCTGGCTGGTTCAGGTTTCTTCCCTCCTTTTGTTTGTTTTGGACGGGGCTCACAGTTTCTCTTTTTTGTTTAATCTTATTAAAGTGTTGTTCATTTAACGCAATTGTGTCCGGACCTTTATATGTTGTGCGTCATGGGTACCCTAGACCCCAGGACTGTAACAAAGGTAATAATGTAAAAATCAATGTTCGAGTCAAATGTTTCCCAAAACACATGGAGTGCTATAATTTACAAGAATGATGGAATGACATGATTATTAATGAGTAAAAGATAAATTTTAAAGCATACTTATAAAACATGTTATTATAATGTAGGTTTTATAGACTATTGACATCTGAAAGTAGCTTTTAGAAAATGACAGTCTTTGTAATTATTTATTTTTGAGTGATGATGATAAATGGTTCCATGTGTGCTAATAGTGTTTGGAAGTAAGTTTTGTTCTAACTCAGTCATTTTGTTTGTATTTGCAAGTATTTCCTGTTTACCTTTCGAGGTGGAAATATTTCGATCCACCAGTTTGCCAAACGCAGAATTCCGCAGAGCTTTAATTATGGGATTGTCTTTAAACACAGGTGCTGTGAAATAAAAGCAAAACAGTTACAAATGTCAATTTGTTTATAACAGATAGGGACCTTCTGTTTATAAAATTGTAGTAAAACTATGCGTTGTTCAAAACGGTATGTCCGAATAAACAGGAATCCAACTGGATTTCTTCTTTGTAACTTTATTTTCAATCTTCTGACTCCAATCAGGTTCACAGTACAGCACACAGGCCTCAGTGTAAGACCTTGGGCTGAAAACAAAACAAAAAGCACAGGAGCCTTGCTCTAAAGCAGAGACTCTGCAACACTGACAACTTCTTGTTTCAGTCACGTGGTTTTGAAGGCGGACTGATCTCCGCTGGAGGGCAGGGGGTAAAATGTCTATGGAGGAAACTACTGTAGAGAGTTTAAATTGTATGGATTTAGATCCTATTTCAAGATATATAACAACAATTTGTTCACAAATATGTCAGCCATGACTCGTATGATGAAGATGAATGAGTTTTCAACAGAACCTAAAGATTTGCTGAGGCTGTCGGTACCACACACGTCTACATCACCAAGTGCCAAATAATAACCAGCAAAGGTTTATCTGATGAATAATTCCACACGATTCTGCCCAACCCTATAACAACATATGATAACACTGATTATCACACAAAGATGAAAAATGTAGAAAGCTCACAGAACGACAACGTAAAAAGTGGATTTTAAACTGTCTGCGGTCAGGAGGAGGAGCAGAATGTCAGTGTCTGCAGCATCACTTCATTCAGAGGTATGTTAGCTGCTAACTTGTTTTAGAGGTTATGTTTATAATGATATTTTATTTTGTAGTGAATATTAAGTTACTGGTAGTTTAATGTGGACCTCATCTGGACTTTAGGCTGCCCTAGTCCTGTGTCGTTAGGTGCTGGATGTGTGTTGACGTTAGCGGCTACTGTTAGCATGATCGTAACATATAAAACAATTTCAGAACAAACACTCACCCTGGTAACAAACAAACAATAATCATCGTGGAGCTGTTTGGTACCGAGGTTGTGGATCCACCTGCTGAATAAAAAGTTCTACACCTCCCGTTGTTTACGTGCTTTCATCAGCTGTTCAGTGTAGTTAGCATCCAGTTAGTGCCACACTGTCTGCCCCGGCAGACCGGTAACGGGACCGTAGAGTCCGCTCGGTGCTCGATCTTCTTCTCTTCCCTCTTATAATCAAAATAGTGAATCAGCTACTTCCTCATCAAAGTCCTCACTCTGTCTCCGACTGGTTTTCCTCCATCTCTGCCTTTCAGCTCCTCTTCTCTCTCAAAGGTTCTAACTGCGGCTCGGTCCACCTGTCCGCAGCTGGAGCTCTACGTTAATCGCCTTGTTTTTTTGCATCAATGACACTAAAAATAACTAACTATTCTATGAAATATAGTTATAAAAATATAATAAATTTAATAAATTTTGGATATCTCATTGCTGACTTCCGATCTCGCTGTCTCTCCATCGCAGCCGAACTTTATTCAACTTCTGCCTCTTTTTATTTTATCCTC